ATTGGATTGATTTTGTAATTTCTGAACTATAGAACTACTAAGATTATGAGACCAATCCACCAAACATGCTCCATCAAGCTCATTGTTCCCTCCAAATCCTCCTCCCGGGGATTCTCCAACCGTTGAATCCTTTCGTTAATCCTCAGAATCTTCTCCTCTATCTCCAGCCTCTCAATCTCGATATTGCATATTTGAATCTCCTCTCTCAATCGATCTTTCAGCGTATTGTCCTCTCCGAGTGAGGGATTTAAGAATTTGAGACCCGTCTGAGGCTCAAGATCATGAAAACTACGCTTTGCAAACATGGCCATTACCTTTAATTATAAACCCTTGCCCCAATCATAGTAGTGCCCTTCGAGATCCGGATCACGATGACACCACAGTTCTGTGCCGAAGTTCCTCTCCACTTGGTTGAGTCCTGTCAGGAGCTTTTGGATCCTTGAGAGTGACAGGATAATATGCTTTGCAACAAGATTCTCAAGTACTTTTCTCGTGCTGATATGCTGCTAGTATATAATATTTCCAGCCTTAGTAATATAAGATTCGGAATTCAGCACACATTAAACGGACTTAAGGACGGTCTATTATACTTAGATCAAATCAAATGATTTCCTGTGATGACAAATGGATGATCACCGCATTTGGATCCGAATGGCACGATGCGGGTGACTTCTGGAAGTAGAAGCCAGGTCGCATGGAATGGTTCACCGTTCAGCAGCGGATTGTCAAGTTCGTGGTAGCGTCCCGTGACATACGACCAGCGAAGGTTTCTAGATGCAACACAAGGTTACCATGTTGCGTACTCTACCAGATCTTTGTTCCCAGTTTCCTCTCCCAGCTTCATCAGCTTCTTTTGGAGTTGCAAGATCTCGGCTTCGGTCTCCTGGATCATTTCACATGCTTTGTCCACGGTCCCCTGAAAGCTTGCATTATCGTGACAAAAGATGACACAGAGATAGCTGTTATAGTGCTTGTCTCTCTGGTCGTTTAGGAAGGAAAGGAGATCATTGACAAGGACGGTGTGATCAATCACTGCTTTGACAAAGGCTACAAAGTCTGGGGATTCAACCACACTCTTGAGATCCAGGCAAAACTCACACATAATGCCTCCAACTGCTTCCGGAGCAGCTGGTGTTCCGTGAGGCTTGGAATGGATTTGGCAAATCGCAAAGAGGAGTCCTCCACTAAAGCATCCAGATAAAGCAAATCATGTAGCGAGCAAACAGTGGGGGATCCACGAGACTTTGAATGCTCAACATCACCTCCTCAAACATGGCATATCTAGGATTCTTTTGCTCCTCTTTTTCACTCGCTTCCCTCAGCAATTTCAAGCAGAATATAAGCAGCCTTTTTCCCCTCTTGCTCGCTGACCAGTCTCAGCAATGTCATCTAGAACAAAAAGACTCCATTTAAGCTTTGATGTAAACTCCACTTAGGTGTGGCTGTACTGATACTCAACCTTTTAATAGCCCATGCATCAGTAACCTCGGATTTCCTAGTAAAATCAGGATGGCATTCAAAGGGAATCTTCTATCTCTCAAGTGTTAGATCCTGAAGGTGCTTATGTAATGGGACAGTTCAACTTTCATCAAACTTTATACCTGCATTACTTGTGTGACCTTGGACAAGTAAAAGATGTTTTCCATACTCTTTATAGATGCCCACAATATCAGCAAGATAAAGGGATCATCTAGCTTTGTTGAGTGATTCATGAACCTTGGACAAGTCAAAGATGTCTTTCATATTCTTTATAGATGCCCACAATACCAGCAAGATAAAGTGGACCATACGGCTTTGTTGATTGATCAAGATTCAAGATTTGTTCTTGCTTTGCATTCATATAAAGGTAAAATAAAATCATATATATTTATAAATAACACACAAGTTAAAGGAATAAACTTGAGAAAAAGACTTCGCACCTCTCTATCCTTAAACCATAAACATGTTTAAAAGTTACATTTTATGATAAATGAATACATCATATTTTCTATCTCATAGGGTAAACTCTTCTCCATGTTGATTATTTTTAAATTGTTATTGGAGGAGCTCAGGGCAATACAAAAAGTGAGGGAAAGTAAATCAGTAATTACAATCTACTCAAAGTGGTCGTCTGTCTCCAAAGTCAAAACATGTATTATTATTGACTTTCAAAGTTTCAACGATGGGGAGATTTCAAAAAATAATGCAAAAAACCCTGCTTTTCTAAAAAGAAATTAACAAAGACTTGATATTTAGTTGGTGTTTAAGAAATATAGATCATAAACATGTTAGTATCATATGATCTTGGCACTCTTGCTTAAATGGCTCCAAATTTTCGGAGAGAACGTTTTTGGTTTCATGATTCTTCTTGATTAGTTACTACTGGATTCTATACATATTTGTACAGCACCTGTGAGCTCTCATCTTCACTCGATGTAAAGCGTGAGCTGTGCGAGTCTGATATCGTTGTGGAGAAGTCTCGCAAAGAATCCCGTTTCTTCTGGATTGGCCACCCATCTGTCCCATCCCGGTGTCAGAAATGACGAATGAAGAAGATTTCTTTTCACTTACAGGACCGCGCATTTGGATCGAGCTGCCGAGTCGTTTCCACTGACTGTAAATCGATCCCCAACGTGGAGTGTCTCGTAAGGCTTCTTTCCAAGGTACTTCATCAAAGCTCCAAGCCCGATCGACTTGTTTCCTAGATGATCAAAGACATCGAAGTTAAAACGGAAATCAAAGAATGTGAAAACTTACCAACATCCACAAAGACATCTGCATTCGGCAAAAAACAAGACACGAGGAAACGTTTAGAGCACAGGAAAAAAACTGTCGAGAAACTGTACATACCACTGCCTCCGTTAAAAGCACAAAACGGTAGCTTGGACTCCACCAGATGGACTTGAACAGTCAAAGCCATCTCCTCCAGAACCTGATAAAATAGGAATGAATCAGTAACCAACAACACAAACCTTTGGCTACCTCGTAAATCGTCGAGACTTTGGGGATGACTCCGACGGCCCTTGGCTTCCGCACAAAATGAACTGGCAAATTCAAGCGTGCGGAGGCCGACTGGAGAGCGCCCTGGGCTTCATCAAGGAGTTCTTCGATTCCCTCTTCCGACCACTCTAGCATATCTTTCGACTTCCACATGTCGTCTGGGACAAACTCGAGCCGGTACTTGTTGTTCACCCGGAGGAGATAGTTGCATTCTCCTCCCATGACTTGAAAGTACCTGGTGACTCTGGAAGCAAGCTCAAGCTCTTCGAAGGCTGAAAGCAGTCCAGAAAATCGGTCCTCGAATTTTGTAGGATCTCCCGGATAGCCTGCACGCACAACGTAGTAAATACAAGTTCTTTTTATCGAAAGAACTTCACCATACCAGCTGCTGTGAGAATCGCAACGTGAATACCACGTTGCATTAGCTTGATAATGTGCGCGATCATCTTGTTATCGCGCTCGATGTGGTGACCATCGGAGTAAATGGTACCATCGGCATCAAAAGTTACCAGTGCCAGTTTTTCAGCAATAGCATGAACCTGTGGAAACGAAAGTTTAACGCAGGGAAGAAAGAAGAAAGAGTTTCTTTGCCGACCTGTGCGATGTTTATGACATGACGAATCTCTGCAAAGTTTGGAGGCACGTATCTTCTCCTCGAGAGAGACGCAAATTCATCGTACTCATGGAAAGCTCGGACGAGAGGCAAAGGTGTGTAGAACCTCCCGACGGAAGGAATCAATCTGCTCAGCGTGCTACGCATGGGATCTTCGCTGTGTTCTTTGATCCATCTCTCCATTTTCTCCATCACCTACACCACGCAAAGAAAAAAAAAAAAACAATCGATAAGAGAAAAATCAATGGTGTGGTCCATCGAAAGAAATATCTTCTCTTCACTCTTCTCGCCAGAGTACCTGGATGGGAGAATGCGTGGAATGGAGCGAGATGATAAACTCGATGAGCCCATCTTGCTCCTTCAATCGACCTTTGCGCCGCAAGACGTGAGCATCAGTGACGCTGCTAGCTCGCGAGACGTGAGCGTCCTCCAGCACCTCCCTACTGAGCAGCATGCTCCATCGCATCTTGTGCTCGGACGATCTGACCTCTGGATCCCCGCCATCGCCTTGTTCTTGCGATATTTCGACCCCATTCCCTGCTGGCGCCGGCTCCTCCGCCCGGATTTTCTCCAGCCGCTGATTCAGATCCACGCCGCCGGCGCTCTCCACGCCCACGGCATTTGAGATCGAGCACACCGAGCAGCGCTGCCGCCGCTTCCTCGCCAAGAAGATCTGGAAACACTGCGATTTGAGGCCGATTTGGGGGATACATTTGCCGGTGAATGCTGTGTGGAGTGTATCGACGCCGCGCCCGCCGCCGGGAGAGGCCTGGATCACAGCGAGCGCCATGACCAGCTGGAGCAAAGGGTTTAGGGTTCTTGGCGGCCATATATCACAAAATAGAGAATATTCTCTTACAGCTATTGGGAATCTAAGGATAAGCACTCCAGCTAGTGGGGAAGATAGAATTCACACGTTGTATCCATTGGCATGTGCGAATGCTTCTTTAGTACACTACATCTTTTGTAAAGTCTTGCCAGTTCCCAAAGTTCTATCCACATCCACCAAATTTTAATCGATGAACACTCTACATTGAAAAATTTTCATACCTTTCTGCGATTTCCTCGTGTTGCTGGAATGTTGCTATTTTTTCTTGCGCGTTTTGACCTTACCACCCATTTTCACCTCCAAACCTTGGCAGCATCTCGCTGATGATTTAAAGATTATCAAAGTGAAGGTACTTGATAAGGAAGAATAAATCCAGCTAATCCACAGCAAGATACCTTAGAAGAGTCACCTGAAAAGAAATGTCAATCCATGTCCATGTCTATGTTGCTTAATATTCATCTCTTTTTGGCGTCGCAATATGATAATCAGCATCTGAAATTCGATGCCAAGTAAAAACTACGGATTTTGCGATAAAACACGATATTGGATATATCAAACGCGATGTTAGATACATTATAGGATTCTGGTTCCTTGTTCATCTCTAACAAGGTGCCACTTTATAGAGCGCGAGAAGCCACAGGCACTGATCAGTGGTATTTTCTGACGATCCCCCTCAGGTACTCCCAGCCTCCACTCTGATACGCGAAGTCCTGCAGCGATTCATCCAGGCATTCTTCCTCGAGTTGAGAGCAACTCTGGCTTGTTATGTGCCACACCCTGAAAGGAACGTCACGGGTTCTGTCCACTGCCCGGCGCTCCACAAACAGCTGCTGTAGACCAGCGTGGTCTTTCCTGAGCAGCTCAACAAACTTGGTGTTGCCACACACGAAAACAATCCTGAAGCAGCTAGCGTCTACGTCGAAGTCAGTGGCTGCTTCTGCAAACAGCTGAGCCGACTCCACACATTCCGCATCATCCTGCTGGCCATGGAGCTTGAGCCATTCCGGAATAACCTGCGAGCACAAAGAAGAAGAATCAATACTATCGATCAAGTAGAAACCTTCTTCATTGAAAATCACCTTCTTGCCTCGGGTTGGCAGCATCGCCTTGAGTCGCCCAAACAATGTAATCACCCTCCAGCCCGGTACCTGGTCGTAGTTGTGGTGCACGAACAAGGCACCGAGGCGGAGACGCTTGGCCACCCAGGCGCCCAGCTCCGTTCCTCGGAGGTGAGCATCGTTGAGCATCTGGTAGGCAGCCTTGTCGCACACGAAGATGTCGCTCGTCTTCCCATCCTCGTCCAGAGGAGGGGCCCTGTTACGAACTGGAAAGAAGCCATACTTCATAGCCTCCACCTCGTCAAGTCCGCTGGGGTGGAGCTTGCCTGGAATGGGAACCCAGCCAGTGGCCTCCTCCTTCTCCTCCGTGCATGGACGCCTTGGGGAGGCGTCGCCCCTGCTGCTGCGCCTGCGCTTGGGGCTCCTGGAACGCGGCATCTCGCCCGAGCGTGGCCTGCGGGAGCTAGAGGCATCCATTCTATCGCCGTGCCTGCGCTTGCCCGAGCGTCGCCTGCGCAAGCTAGAGTCATCCATTCCATGGTCGTCCCTGCTGCTAAGCCAGCGCTTTGGGAGCCCAGGTGGCCTGCGATCCCGAGGCCCGCGCTCTGGCCTGGCAATTGCGTGAACGTTGCCTTCGCGCCTCGTCGTCCTACCCATGCCCTAATCTCCGAGGTTAGGGCTGTTTGATGATTAGGAGTTAGAACTTGACGGTGATTCTGATGCCTTAATTTCTACATCGTTTGGCAGCGAGTGCATTCTTGGATTCGCTACTGCACTTTGTTTGAATTTCACAGCAGCGTTTTCCTTGGAACAAATGAAATCAAAGGTTATCTAGCAGCCTTTTGGATTGAAGCCTTGTGGATGCACAATCCACAATGCAGTTTCAAGTGGCAACAAACAGCATCTAAGAACTCGAGAGTTGTGCATGAGAGTTGTGCAATCAAGGTGAAGATTGCCATCCAAAGAACCCTAAACAGCAGCAAAGTCCCAGTAATCTTGCAGAATACCTAGTATGTCTCCATAGAAGAAAGGAAATTGACTGGTAGCTGCTGGACTAGCAAACAATTTTCAACTTCTCCATTGGCAGAGGTTTGTTGCATTAATATTTTCTATCTAGAGACATCACTGTTTTTGGTTTTGGATGGTGAAGGTTATGACAAGGGAAGAATTAGACATCTGGAAAAATACTCCCTAAGTTTCTTGTAAGAGAACTTTACTTCTCTTTTGTTCTACTTCCTGTCTATATTCTGAAACGGTTTGACAGGTGCAAAATGGTTGCTTGTGGCTATTCACAACAAAAATATGGAAAGTATGAGTGTATTTTCTCACATCAGCAGCCACACACACGAGGCAATTGCTGGTAAAGCTCTTTCCATTCTTCTATAAGCGTTTTGTGTTTAGTTTTTTATTGAAATAGTGAAGTTATGAATTGAAACAAATAGCAAGAAAG